GGTGTTCGATTTCCTCAAAACTCTACAGAACACATTACCTAGCATCAAAAGGCAAAGTAGTCCAACTTTCCATCTAACAGAGGAGCCACTTGAACTTGGGAGTCCTGTACTTCAGGGAGTTCTTGAACTAACATATTACTGGGAAAAAGATAGCAACACAAAATGTATCCCTATTTATTTCCTTATTAAACTTTATCCTTATCTATTTCAGCACATGCCACAAGTGTGGCAATACAGATAATGACAACGAAACAATGAACAGGGCCCGGTGCAATTTCATCACCTAACTGCTCGGCACTATTGGGACACCCACGTCTACACTCTGCAGGAACTTTTCTGAAGAAAACGAGGACCAGTTACACTACTGATTTGTTTGTTCTGTATTGCAGTATGGATGACAAATTGCTTTGACTGTATTCATTCCAAGATTATCCACACTTTTGGATTCCTGAATTTAATAGGGAGAGCCAGCCTGGGTGCTGGATCTCTGGGTTAGAGGAAGAGTGTGCCACGTGCCTTAATGCTGTAACATTAATGCTTAGCGCTGAACTGAGTGGTAAAACACCTGCCTCAGAGGTGGGACACAAGCATTCAAGCCCCCATTACATCTGCAATGATGAGCAAAACCATGGCTTGTCTATCACAGGAGGACTTCTAAAACCATTTGAGCCCAGCATGCAGCTTCACACCTATTTCAGTCCGGTTTCCACAGTTATGTAGTCCTGGATATCTATACTTTTTTTTTGCCAATGGTTAAGAACACTGGAAAGCAAAACTTGTACAACGGCCATCAACTATTTTTTCTCCAAACTCAGGTTCTACTAATACCACGCTTGGCACACTCCTTGAAGATACATACTGTTCCTTAGAAGCAGTTTTAATGTATTTTAGAGATGACAGTCTTGGCTTAGAACAAAACCAATTTTCTCTTGATCTGAGATAACTGCAATATTAAAGAGGTTTTTTTAAAAGTCTTGTTTAGCCAGGAAGAGATTTCAAACAAGAAACATGGGTAAATCGTTTTACTTACTCCTAGGCAGCTCCAGGCTTCACCCACCACTACTGACCCACCACATGTTAACAGCTACCTAAGACTTAATACCTTGGTGCTCTGGCACAAACCATTTCATGGGTCTTCACAGTCAGACACCTCCCGCCAGCACCGTTTCACATACTAGACTGACCAACATCTCTTGAGAGATGGTGCAGCAGCATTTGCAGGCTGCCTCTTCCATGTTCAAGTGACTTCTACATTAGCCAAGTTCTCGCATCCATTTAAAACATTAAAAAAGGCAATTAAAACTAGGAGGAAAAAAAAAGGGGGGCGGGGGG